TAGCAGCACGCTGCTGGCAAGACGGTGACTGAATGAATGATGGTGTTTTTTTTTTTCTTTTTTTTTGTCGTGTCACTTTACCTTGGTGGGAGACGGCCTTGTGTGTAGTAGTAGTAGTAGTAGTAGTAGTAGTAGTAGTAGTAGTAGTAGTAGTAGTAGTAGTAGGAAAGAGTTGTCAAAGGCACTTGTTGATAGACACTTGGCTTGCTTTGCGTGTGTGTGTGTTTGTGTCTGTACTCGTATATTTAATGTCGTGCCGAATAAGTAAAACTGGTCAATTTGCAAGAACTCGTTTAAAATCACGTCCTTTCTAAAAAAATTCTTATACATTTGGATATATTTTTTCATTTATGTTAATATAAAAATTAATGATTTTGTACCAAACGAGCCTTACCTACAACGTAAGGATTGTTCTAACCACTGATGGTCCAGTGGTTAGAGCGATGCATACGTTGTACTGTTCTCACGGGGCTGGACATGGTGAAGCAGGATCGAATCCCGGCTAGCCGCAGTTCTGTTAATGATTTAAAATCACTTGTTTCGTGATTATTATTATTATATATATATAATATATATATATATATATATAATATATATATATATATATATATATATATATATATATATTATAATCACACAGACATTATCTATGACTGATATTTTATCTTAGTCGCTGATTTGGGTGTGACAGGAGGGTGGAGTGTGGGTGGCCAGGTGTGGGCTTTGGCGGATGTGGGTGGGGTGGAGGTGGGTGAGGGAGGTCATGTTGGGGGGAGAGTAGAAGAGGGCGGGCTTGGGCTTGGCTGGGGTGCAAGGTAGGAATGGCTAGGTCTAGAGTTAGTGGGTGGGCGGGGGTGGGCTGGCTGCTGACTGACTGGACCTGCCTGGAGGCAGGGTTCAACACACAGGTGTCGCCCCTGACAGGTGACCACACTTCCTCGTGGGAGAGAGTGGGGGGGGATGTAACTAGCAGGTGTCTTTCCATAGTAGGTGGTGGGGGAGGAGGGTGAAGGGTTATGTACAGGGTGGGGATACCTTACAAAAAGTAATCTAGCCGTGTAAACACGCTGGGTTATCAACACTGATATGAAGGAGAATCACATACCAAACGATTTACTAAACGCAAAAGTCTGGATATATCCACAGTGTGTTGCTATCGTAGTGATAGTCGCACTGAAAACAAAAGCTAGCTTTTTTCCACTTTTGTATTCCTTCACATAATTCTTTTTTCACACTGTACCTCCACCTAGTGCCAGATCAACCAGGCTGTGATGGCTATGTGGGTCAGTGGGTCGCCAACAGCAACAGCCTGGTTGACCAGGGCTGGGCTACGGGAAAGGCATCAAAGGTGTATCAAAGTATGTCTTGAGTCACCACTGCTCAACCTCTGATCTAAGATCCTATAAGTCTTCAAGTATAACGTTATAGGCTGGTAGTTATAGATGTGATGAGTGGTACTCCTGTTACCGTTGTGGTACTGCTGTTACCGTTGTGGTACTGCTGTTACCGTTGTGGTACTGCTGTTACCGTTGTGGTACTGGTGTTACTGTTGTGGTACTGCAGTTACTTTTGTTACCGTTTTGGTACTGCTGTTACGTTGTGGTACTGTTGTTACCGTTGTGGTAAAGCCACTGTTGGCAACTGTGTCCCGTTGTGTATGAATGAGAGAGGTACTTGGCGAGGGTTGCAGACTACTAGCGACCTTGTGGCAGGGAAGGGTAAGGTTGCAGCTCCTCTGCTACCTCAACTATGCAACTCATCATCAGCTGACTTTCTCTCTCTCTCTCTCTCTCTCTCTCTCTCTCTTCTCTCTCTCTCTCTCTCTCTCTCTCTTCTCTCTCCTCTCTCTCTCTCTCTCTTTCTCCGTCTACTCTTTCCTCCTCCTCCTCATTTTTTCTCTTCGCCTCTTTTTTTCTCCACCATTCCTCTTTCTGTGCTTCGTTATTTCCCCTTTTCTTCCCCTCCGCTCCCTTGCTCCTCTCCCAACCCTCATCATTTCCCGTTATTTCCCCCTTACCTCCTGTCACCCCCTCTTCTACCCTTCATTATTTATCCTCTATTCTCCTTTATCCCCGTCCCCTCACTCTTCTACCATTCACTATTTCCCCTTATATGCCAGCTGACATTCCCTCATTCTCCAGTTCTGTCGACTACTCGAAGATAGTACAGACAAACGAAAGCGTAAGACAACTGCTGACATATTTTTCTAGCCTGCTTACCTGAGGAGGCATTTCTCAGTTTCTAGCCTGATCAGTTAGGCTATCGGGGCTAGCAACGCCCACCTGGGCGCAATCACGCTCAGTTACCGTAGTTAGAAAATCCCAAACTGTTCCTGGTTAACGGTACTTAATGGTGAGGAACGGACGTAGGCTGTGGAACGAGCTTTTTATTTGGACTATTCCGTCATGTGTAGAGCTTCAAGGCAGTGCGTTGATAACGCTCTAAACAGGGATGGGGAACCAGTTTGATAAGGCTCTACTAGGAAGCATGACTTGAAGCTCTATACTGATTGAAACGGGACCTGATAAAAGCTCCATGCAGAGCGAAAATTGATAAAACTCTAAAAAGAAGAGCGAAGCATGATAAAGCTCTACGCAGAGCAAACAATTTGATAAAGCTCTACGCAGAGTGAAGCATTGTTGCAAGGAGAGCTTTCTGTAGCTTGCCTTTGCACTCAAGCTTACTTGCAAAGCGTCGTCATGGGAGTTGCCACCATAACCCTTTCCTGCCATCACCATTACCATGGTTTCCAGGTCATTATAGTGGTAGTCCCCCATCTTTATTTCCCCACCATAACCACCACAATCGTTTTGACCACCATTACAGGTTAGGGTATTGTAGGTTAGGTTAGGGTATTGTAAGTTAAGTTAGGGTGTTGTAGTTTAGGGTATTGTAGGTTAGGTTAGGTTATTGTAGGTTAGTTTAGGGTATTGTTGGTTAGGTTAGGGTATTATAGGTTAGGTTAGGTTATTGTAGGTTAGGTTAGGTTATTGTAGGTTAGGTTAGGTTATTGTAGGTTAGGTTAGGTTATTGTAGGTTAGGTTATTGTAGGTTAGGTTAGGTTATTGTAGGTTAGTTTAGGGTTATTGTTGGTTAGTTAGGGTATTTATAGGTTAGGTATTGTAGGGTTAGGTTATTATTGTAGTTAGGTTAGGTTATTGTAGGTTAGGTTAGGTTATTGTAGGTTAGGTTAGGGTTATTTTAGGTGAGGTTAGGTTGAGTTTTGTAGGTTAGGTATTGTAGGTTAGGTTAGGTATTGTAGGTTAGTTTAGGGTATTGTAGGTTAGTTTAGGGTATTGTAGGTTAGGTTAGGGTATTGTAGGTTAGGTTTGGGTATGTAGGTTAGGGTATTGTAGGTTAGGTTAGGTATTGTAGGTTAGGTTAGGGTATTTGTAGGTTAGGTTAGGGTATTGTAGTTTAGGTTAGGTTATTTTGTAGGTTAGGTAGGTATTGTTAGGTTAGGGTATTAGTAGGTTAGGGTATTGTAGGTTATGTTATTGTAGGTTAGGTTAGGGTATTGTAGGTTAGGTTAGGGTATTGTAGGTTAGGTTTTAGGATATTGTAGGTTAGGTTAGGCTATTGTAGGTTAGGTTAGGGTATTTTAGGTTAGGATATTGTAGGTTAGGTTAGGGTATTGTAGGTTAGGTTAGGGTATTGTAGGTTAGGTTAGGGTATTGTAGGTTAGGTTAGGGTATTGTAGGTTAGGTTTGCTTTCTCTTTTCTAATTTAATGGCGGATTTTTATAAGTTATTTCGAAGCGATGGCTCTGTTGTTTCCTTGTACCGCCAGAACTACCACCACTACTGTCACTACCACCATCACCACCATCACCTCCACCACCACTACTTCCACAACTACTACGGACCATCACTACTACCACTATTTTCAGCACTACACTGACCCCCTCCCCTCCCCAGCTGGACGTGAAGGAATGTCTAGTAATTATGACCACTCTGCTTCCCCACTCACTGGGGACGCGCGCGCCCACGCGCACGCACACACACACACACACACACACACACACACACACACACACACACACACACAACACACACACACACACACACACACACACACACACACACACAGGCATCCATTAAATTATTCTAGGCAGTCTAGAATTTCTTGTTAGCTGTTGTTGTCATTGTTGTGGCGAGAATGTTGACACAACAGCCAGGTACACACTGCTGTGTAAACACGGGCAGCGAGCGTAAAGGAACTCGCCCATACAGTGCCACAAAATGCTTGAAACCGCACTGAATCGTCGAAATACCCAGTAAATTAAGCTTTTCAACACATTTTTTTTATATTTTTAAATATTTCACATATTTTTAAAGAACCATCTGATAAGTCCATAAAAAATGTATATTATTATTGAATATTTAATGCGTCTTGACTAGGGATTGAACCCGGAAACTGTCGGTTGTGTGCCACGCTGAGTTACGCGCCACCTTACACTTGGGGAACGAAGTAGGTGGAGGAGTGTGTTGGGGAGGTGGGTGTGCGTACTGGGGGACGGTACGGTGAGATGGTGTACTGGACGCACTGTCTCTAGTCATGTACTGGTACAGTCTCATCCTCTTTGATTATCCAGTTAAAAGAATGCACGTGTGTGTGTGTTGTATATCACCCATGTCTTCTACATAGCCTACTCTTCCTATGATCAAACGTGATTGCTTCCTATTCCCCAGGACCTCAGTAACCCCTGTGGGATATGAGTCTGTAATGTTACCTATGATACCTTTTGCAAATACACAACCCGCACTTTGGAGAGGAGAAAGTGATGACGTTTCGATCTGACTTTGACCATTGACGTCTCACTGTGACTCGGCAGTGGTCCTAGTAGGATTGAAACATCATCCCCCCCCTCTCAAGTGCGGATAATTTGTGTATTGTTCCCACCACCGTATTGACCTTTTATAAATTACGCACCTTTATAATGCGTGACCTGTGTGTTATGAACTTAAATTAAAACCCATATTTATTTTCTTCCATTACAGGGGGGTTTGAAGAGTTCAGATCGAGGTTTCCTGAATGGTGCGAGTCTGCTCTGCACTCAGAACCACCCATCGTCGGTCTGAAGAGTTTGAGAATCACGTGTCTGGAGGCGGAGGAGGAGGCTGTGGTCGAGGGAGCCTGTGACTCTTCCCTAGGGAGGGACACTCCCTTAGATGACCTGGGCTTTCCTGTCGAGATCCTCCCTCACCTCTACCTCGGTAACGCCAAGAATTCTGGCGACCGAGATGCCCTCAACAGACATAAAATTCGGGTGAGTAGATAGTGTGTAAAAGACGGGTTTTTGGTGTGGTTTGCAGGCGCGATCTTATAGTCTTAAAGTTATATTTTCCTCCTCAAAATAATTAAGATAGTTTTAATTTAAAAAGCATTAGAGAGGCCTGGTCAAGGACTGAGCCAGGGGGGCGTTGACCCCCTGAACACCCTCCAGGTAGATCCCAGCTAGAGTGAAAGTGGCGAAGACGGGATCACTAATTGCTTTTCAATTCAGATATGCTCGTGGTGTCCTTTTTTGTTTGGTGGATGTTTTTTTTTTTATCAATAAAATATCTTTTATATATCATATAGGTTAGTATACTCCCTATATTCCTCAACAAGTGGCAGTGAGCACTAGTGGTTTCAAAGGAAAGGCAAGTTTCCTGAGCGTTTTTGTGACTCCATGTGCTTTGCGCTTATCCAGGTTGGATGTAAGGTGCATGAAAATACGTTTTAAAGTAGCAGTGTGTATGTGTATAGCCGTCACGGAACCAGCTATGTAATGTGCTGGGTTACCCTTTCTGTAAGGTTACTTCGTTCGTATGTGTGATTTTTAGGACAGTGGTAAGATCTGTCTTTTCCTATGGAGTTAGGGCTTTCCTGTTTCCTCTTAGTTCGTTCAGGCTCGTGTGAAGGTGAGTGTAAGGGTGGGCGAGGGGTAGTTAACACGGGTGTGGGTGTGTATAAGTGGTGGTCGTGGGTGTGGGTGGTGATGGGTGTGGGTGGTGGTGGGTGTGGGTGAGCGCCCATGGCAAAAACGATTGGGTTCTTCCGGTGGCTGCGTCGCTGAACAGAGGTGCGAGGGAGGAGAGGAAGGTCTTGTGGAGGAGGGGGAGAAGGTCTCCTGGAGAAGGTCTCATGGAGGTGGTGGAGAAGGTCTCTTAAGGGTGGAGAGTATGCTCTTACTTTATTTGTGAGGGTGAGTTAGACTAGGCTTGCCTTAATTTATGCTGTTCTTTAAAATAATGAATATCCACTGGGCCTCTTCATAGATCTTAGGAAAGCTTTCGATACAGTAGACCATAACATCCTGCATCTTGAACAAGAACATCATGGTAACAGAAGTCATATTCTTTCATACTTAATCCTACCTTAACACACCAATGTCTTCAAGGGCATAACCTCGTCATCTCTTCCAATCAACATGGGGTGCCTCAGAGCAGTGTTTTCGGTCCTCAGTTACTTAAACCTGTGCTGTTTGCAGATGACACAACTTTTGTCATCTCCCATTCAAATCCTAATTCTCTCCGTAGCACTAAACTCAGATTGACAAGACCTTCTGCATGATGTTTGGGAACAGTTGCAAATGCACAGCTAAATAAAGATTACCAGTTCTCAATTTGTAAGATAAAACGAGGGCAGATGCTTAGGTTTAGACCATGACAGCCACTTAAAATTCAACACCCACATCCAGCACATAACCAAGAAGGTCTTCAAAAACAGTTGACATCCGCACGCAAGCTGACGTACGAACCAACCGGGCTGTGGTTCGTACGTCAGCTTGCGTGCGGTCAGCAGTAACAGCCTGGTTGATCAGACCCTGATCCACCATGAGGCCTGGCCTCAGACCGGGCCGCGGGGGCGTCGCATCTCCAGATAAACTCCAGGTAATTCTCTCTCTATGATACGTTACGATGTACCTCAGGCAGCACTACTTACTGTGTACTACTCTGCCAGTGGGTTACCACTAGTCACTTCCGGGTGTCACCGCCCCCGCTGCTCGGTTCTGGATCAGGCCCCCCTGGTTGCTGGCCTGTTAGAACAGGATGTTGATGCCCTCCACCCGCAGTCCAACGGATGCGCCTGCAGTCCGGCTGATCAGGAACTGACTTGAGGAACTTGTCAAGATTACAAATAACCCGTATTTTTTATTCGTTGTCAGGTTACCTCTTGACGAAGACGGCTATGAGGTTGTTAGTAACTCGTTTACACACGAAAGGAGGTAGTGGTTGAATATGACAGGGAAATATACCTAAATCTTGTTCCCATTATATAATTATCATAGAGTAGGGAAGCAACGGGGTACTGATATCCCCAATTTCAAGACATCTGCAGTCTACCATTATTATCTACTACCATCTGTCTTTCCATGCCATCAACGCTTAGCTCACTGGTGAGAGTATTCGATTCACAAGTGCAAGGTCTCGGGTTAGATTCCCTGGCAGAGAAACACATGGTCAGGTTTCCTTACACCCTTGTTGCCCCTTCCCACTTAGCAGTAAAAATAGGTACCTGTGCGTTAATGACTATTGTGTGTCGCATCCGGGGGAAAATGTGTTAGAAAATTCCAGTCCTGTTGGAATGTCCAGTTCTGTGTAAGAAAAACTCCCCCTTCCTACTGGAATGTCTTTTTGTATAAGAAAACTCCAGTACTTGCTGGAAAGTATTTTAAGTGTTGAACGATAGCCTTGTGATTAATGATATTTTTTTGTTCACCCATTACCTTTACCTTCACAGCTCGTATAAAGTCAGTCAAGCACCTAAATTACTGGGAGCGATTGAAGTCCCCTCGAACTGTACTCCTTAGAACGCAGGCGAGGAAGATGCATCATAATCTGCACCTGAACGATAATACTGGAAGGATATGAACACGATAGGCTTGGCATGCTGGGCAAGATTCAACACCCTTCGCGCATAAGGAGGGATTAACAACAGACCTCCGGCTGCCTTCACGAGAACTCTGCAAGTTCCTCAAATCAGTTCCTGTTCGACCGGGTTGTGGTGCATACGTTGGGCTGCGGGAGGCGGGCACTAACAGTTTGATCGATCAGGCGAGCAACCAGGAGCCCTGGTCTGGGACTGGGCCGCGGGGGCGGGATCTCCGAAAGCTACTCCAGGTAACCCCCAGGTAACCTCTATCACCAGTCCCCATACCCTTACCCATACCTGTAAGGTCTAACGGTACCTCTCACCTGTCTGGTGGCTGCATCCAACACCTCTATCACAGGAGAGTAATAATACAGGATTATTGACCTTGTATGACCTATTGGGGTCGTATCCCCTGAAGAAAGGAAGTACTCTTCACGGGAGTCAACTGCAGATGGGGGATTATTTTGTTTTTAATTTGGACACGTCAGAAATATGCTTGTACCCTATTTTATGATACTGATATCGTGGGAACAAAACCTAGCTGTATTTTCCCATCGTACAAAGCTAGCTGTGTTTCCCTGTCATATCCTGTCACACAGGATGGGTTTTGTCGTCCTGAGCTGGGAGACTTCGGTAGGACAATGTGGATATCGTCAAGTATTCGATTAAAGGTTCAACAGCTATGAGAGCTTCAAAGGTTTCCTTCCAGAAGAGCTGGAGTTAATATTGCTGGTGATGGGAAAAGAATAAGAGAGGGGAAAGTGAAAACAGGTGAGAAGCGAGAGAAGGAAAGTGATGATGCGTGTTTCCATGCCACTGTTGTAAACTTGATTCAAGATGGCGAAGACTTAAATTCGGAGGATTAATAGCCCGGGATAACCCAAGAAAACCAAGCAATTGTGGCTTATTTCCACTAAGGTCCTTTTTACAGTCTTTCCCCAGGATGCTATCCACAACAATCGACAAACGCCCAGGTATCTATTCACTACTAGGAAACGGGCAGCAGGTGTTAGGAGACTTGCCCACACGACCCACCTGGTACGGGGTTCGACCAAGGGTCCTCTTTGTTGCTAGCTGAGCGAGTTTGCCATTGCTGTTAAGTGTTAAAGACCACTGAGATCCACCAAGTGCACTCTACAATACACCGTCAGATAAGTACGTTACTCTAACGTCAACGTCACACATTCGACATTGCTGTTTAGGCTACTGTTTAGAATGTCCTACAGTGGTTGAATGTATTATGAACTTTGCACACTGTATGCCTGAAACACAGTGTCACAGGCATACAGTGGTAGTTATCAGGTGGCAGTATAATAACAAAGGATATCCTAATGGTTATAATCATAATCATAATTTTTAAAGGTAAGGCAGCGGAAGGTCTCGGTCAGATGACCACCCCTCAAGGGAACTGGGTCTGTGCTCCAATTCCCTGAATTAACCCTAAATGCCTTGCATCTCCCCCCACAAGCTCTATAATACGTTGGGGTTTAGTGCTCCCTCCCATAATCGGTCAGATGACCAAAAGCTCCAGCTGTGGGTCATCATATGACTAAGACACTTGTCCTAAGTGGCAGCACTGGTGAAAGGTTGTTATAGGTAGTATACAGTGGTAATCAAGTGGAGGCATTGGTGAAAGGAGTCAAGAATCCGCTGACCATTTCTATGACAAGAACGACCACTAGTACGCCAGCGACGAGTCGCCAGAAGTGTTTTTACTGAACAAGCTTGGAATCACAGGCAAGCGGGAAGTGTGTGGTAGAGGGGAGGAGGAGAGGGACCCTAGTAGGTATAGGGAAGGAGGTGGAAAAGGTAACTAAAGGCTAATAGGGAGGGGGGGAAGGCAGGGGAGGAGGAAAGGGTGAGGTGAGGTGATATTGATGACGGTGAACTAACCAGTAGGCAGCAAAGGGGAGGAGGAGGAGGGGGGGGAGACTCGCCGCTGTGCCTCACCCCCAACACTCCCCTCCACCACCACAACATCCATCCCCCACCACCTCCAGCATGGCGACCGCCAGACTACCAACCACAATGAAACATTTAACATTTTTCCTAGCATCTAGATTACAACCTATCTTTCTGTAGCCCACAGAATATCAGTAGGGAGTAGTAGGTCTATGCTAGAAGGGCGTAGACAGGCAAACAAAGGAGACAAGAACGCAGGAACCTAGAAAAGAGTAGAGCTGTGGAAGGAAAACAGAGAGAGGTGCAGGTGGCAAGAGCGCGGCCAGGTACCCGAGGTTACATTTGAGAAAATTCCATTCATTCACATCTCCAAAGTCACCTACTGATGCTCTCTGGCGGCGGGTACCTAATTTCCTTCCCCCCCCCTTCCCCCGCCCAGTGTGTGGTGGTAAGGGAAGAAGAGAGAGGGGGAAGTGTTAGATGTGGGTTGATTTGCTTATTATCTTC